GCTTAATTTTTCGTTAGAAATTCTTAGAGTTCTTACGATTTTACAATTGTAAGAATATTTATTACAAATTGTTTCTTTGATAATAATTGATATGAAGGAAGAAAACCAAAAAAAAAAATGCTAAAAGAGAGATAATTATGGTGATGAAGATAAATGATAAAGAACTGATAACGCGTTGACACTGATAATAAGTATAGTAAACGAAAGAACCATTGTAATGATAAAGATAGTAATAATAATAGCGATAACGGATAACAAATCATAATTGGTACTTTTTTAATCTCTCTTTCCTTATTCTTTTTTGTTTTATTCAAAAATAATTTTAAAATTAAAACAAAAAAAAATTGATAACAAAGTTTTCAAATCATATCAATGATAACTACAAATAAAATCGTTGATATTCTAATCAATTTCAATTTCAATTTTATATTCATTTGATATTTTTTATTTCTTCTTCTTTTTTTGCAATATTATCTTAATCAGTTAAAATTTATCACTGTCATCGTTATCAATTCTCAATCATTTATTTAAGCAATTAAATTACAATTAATCACTTCTGATATTGCTAACTTATTGCTGATAACGATAAATTAAATGAAATAATTTAAACAAATTTAATGATTATCAAACATTAGAAAAAAATGTCGTGAAATATTGCTATCAGTGTATTGATAGATGGATGGATGGATTGAAGAAATTTTTTACATTATTTTTTTTGAATACATATATTTTATTTTTGAGTAACTTAACCAACGCATAGTTTATAGTTTGTCAAAGTTTTCACTATCGCCGACAATGAGAAAAATGAAAATGTGAAACTTTCAGATATATTAGATTTTGTTTTCACCGTTTCACATCATCCAACCAGCAATATAAAGTTCATTGATGCCAGCCAATTAAACAGCTGCTCTTAACGATTAAGTGATATAAATGATAAAGAGTTAAAGCAAAAGATAAATGTTTTCTTTTTTCGCTTTTACACATTTTACTTTCAAATATATCTTTCCAAAAAAAAAATAATAAACTAAAACTTTTCGTTTTTTTTTCTTACAATAATTTTTTTACTTTTGTTTTTTAATTAAAATTTATTAATTAGCATAAAATTGTCAATTGTAAAAATTTTTATTTCAAATGAATTTGTTCGAATGATAAATTAATTAATTTGAATTTTTCTGACAAATTAAAACGAAGAAAATTAATTCTTTGTAATATGCAAATAATTTCAATTCATTTTATTTAATAAAATTAATTTTTTCATATTTCATTAATTAATTTATTTCATTTTCAATTTTGCTGCTTTTTCATTTTTTGTTGAAGAAAATGCTATGATTAATTAACTATTTCGAAAATTCTATTACGATATATATTACATACTTTAGCAAAGAATTCTTTTAGTCCTCTTCAACTACTTTAATAACTTTCAATTTTAATTTGCTTACTTTAGTCGAATTGTTTCAATATATTTACATTCTGTAAGTGTGTGTGTGTGTGTGTGCGTGTGTGCGTCTGTCTCTCTGTCTGTCATTCTTTCTACATGGATTTGTCGATTTTAAAAATTTCATTATATTTTAATGAGTTTTTTTGTTTTTTATTAATTTTAATTTTAATCGTATTATCTATCAGTTAGAAAAAATATCTATACATTTTGTTATTCGTAATATTGCAAAATTTCTTCAACTCTTTATTATTTATTCTAGTATTTATATTCCACCTGTAGCAGGTGGAATATAAATGCTAGAATAAATAATAAAGAGTTTCGAAATCTATCGTTCCTCTTCTGAATTTACCAATTATACCACACAAAAATCGTAATAAAAATTTCTATCACTTAATAAGATTTTTTGCATTAATTAATAAGATCTATGAGGTTTACAGACAGCCGATATAACATAATTAAGAATGATCGAACATCAAAAATTTAAGGTTTTTCGACATTTAAATTTTGACATTTGATACTATCAGTGACATCATGTGTTTTTTTCTTTTTAATCTTTTTATCGATCATTTCAGGCTTATGCTTACTATGTAGTGTTAGCAGGCTTATGCAATTGTTGTAATTATATGAATAACGACAAAAATGTCAACAACTCAAGGTGCTGTATCGCCAAAAGCAAATCAAACAAAAGAAATGAGAACTTGCTGCAACTGTTGGCATATCAAAAATGGTATTTTCATTTTGGGATTGATAGAACTTGTCGCTGTTGCTCTCATTTTTAGCGGTATCTTTACACAAATAATCAATAAAAGTCGTAAATTCAATTGCAATCAACAACAATTCATATTCAGGTAAACAATTTGTTATAAAAGAAATTCAAATTAAAATATCTTTAATAAATTCATATCATACAAAATTGAAGTCAATAGACGATTCTGATAAATGGATTGTTAGCAAATGTTAATCAAATTTTTCGGAAGCTTAATTTATTTAGAAATTAGTGAATTAAACTTCATGAAAAATTGTATTAATAAATTAATGGTATAATTTAAAAATTAATGGTATAATATAATTTAAAAATTAATGGTATAAGTTAATGGTATAATTGATAATTAGTTGGAAATTAAATGAAATTTAATTTGAAATGAAAGTAAAAATGTAATGATAATTTGAAATATATTATTGAAGGTTATTTCAATATTGTAATTCGCTAAAATTTGATTGGACATTGGCTGGTGACTATTTCATTGCATTGCTATTATTTATCATTGGAATATGTGTATGTCTTCTTTTAATAATTAATTTTACAAAATTTAATTTTATCTAATTAAATTATAAATTTTTTTCTATCACTAATAATACGCATAAAACAATGAAATTATTTTCGATAATATTTTTATCTGAGATAAAAACAACGAAAAGCGATCCTCCATTTTTATTGTTTGTTTTTAAAATTTCATTTAATTAATAAAAATTATTTCTGTCAATAAAGTTTACTTAATTATTTGAATACTTAATTCTTTTGTTTCTATTTTCTTTTTACAATATTATCATATATTTGTTAATTTCAGATTTTACTGTTATTTTTTGGAATTTTATTAAAATCACCACTTTTATTATTACCACATTTGTTAATTCAAGGAATTTTTCTAATTTCATCTCTTGCTTATTTCTTCCTTTATGCACAGAGTTATATTTATATCGATTTGTATAAACAAAGGAAAACTTTCAACGTTAGTTCATTTATTTTCAATTTCGTTGAATTTTATTTTTGTTAAATAAATTTTAGTAACTTTTCAACATTTTCAACATTTCCATTATGCAAATTTCTGCGCCATAGCAAATTAGATAATATCATTTGGTGTTTGAAATTTCTAAGATATCACATTTTGTTACAATGAAATATTTTCATTTCCAATTATTTTATCATTTTCTCTTTATATAGCATATTTTGTGAAAGTTGATAATTTCTAATTTATATACATATATTTATGTGTATATACATACGTATCATTTAATATAATATTCAATTTCCTTTTCATTTGCAAAAAAATTTTTCGATTTCTTTTAATTTATATCTCACATTAAGGCCTTCTTAAAAGGTCAAATGTTAGTTATTGAATAAAATTTGTTATAATAACTTCTTAAGTTACAATTAATTGAATAATTATTTTAATTAATTTCTCGGATTATTTCCTTTTTTATTTGTTGTAATTTCAAAATTAAAAATTAATTTATCAACAGATTTCTATTTGCAAGAAGCATTGCTATCATTACTAATTACTAATTGTTAGTTGTTAATAAAATTATATATTTTACAAGGATTTTTGAAAGTTTCGAAATTATTGGACAGTTGTTGAAAATGCTTTAAAACAATTGAAACATTTAAAATCTTCCAAAAAAAAAAAAAAAGCTTTTTTAAATTCGAATTAATTTTTCGAAATTTTTTCTCATTTTCAATTTCTGTACTTTACAAGAAAAGAAAATAATTCATTGAAAAGAATGAAAAATGAAAGGAAAATTTATTCATTAAGCTGGCATAAATCTTATAATTTCATTGTTTAAAGTTTAGCAAATTTTTCGTAGGAATTGAAATGATCAAATTTTGTTTGATATTACTTATCAGTGATATCAGTGATATATCATTTGATTAAATTGAACTTTTGGAATGTAAATCGGTGAAATACAATGAAAATATGTATTTAATAGAACTAATTAAAATCTTAATGGAAATGTAGTAGAAAATAAAATTGAATTAAATCTTAATAGAACCTGATAGAAAATATATTTAATTGAGCTGATTTAAATCAGTAAGCGTTACAGACCATCGAATGTTTATACAAAAAATTTTTTTTATGTAAAAAGAAATTATTTCATTCTTATTTACAGCTTGCGGCTTTATTGGAACGAATGTGGTTGGCAACTCTATTACTTATCTTTGCTGCATTTCAATTTTACATCTTTTTCACCGTTGTCAAATGTTATTTATATTTACAGGTAATTCTTTTTTTCTTTATATTAATTTATTTCGTTAAAATTAATAAAAAAAAATTTTGAAAATCAATTTGAACTAATTTAATATTAATTAGGAAAAATGTTAGTAACAATTAAAATTAAATGAGAATATTTCATGGAATTTTAAATATAAAATGAAAAGATTAGCAAAGTAAGATAATATTGATCGATCCGTAACGCAGAAAAAAATTACTACGACATGAATTGAGCTATTGTACGTTAAATCTTCATTCCACGGTCATAACGTATTACGTGAAAATACTGTATTAGCAATAAGTTTTGTATTGTGCCAAAATAGGAAAAAACATCAAGTAATATTACATTACTAAACTTTGAATATTATCAAAAAAGACTGAAACATTTTGAATAAAAATCAACGAATCATTTATCAGTGAATTATCCTACTACTGTAAAGAAAATTTTTTACAGTAAAGTTGAAGTTTGCTAAATTTTGCTACCATATGTTGGAGTAATATAAGATTTCTACAGTTAAATAAACCAAAGAGGAATTTTTAATTTAAAATTATTTTAATTTAAAAGGAATATCAAAATGAACGATTGCGACGAATTAGACAATTTGAGGAATGCAGCAAAAGAGTGCGAGATGCAAAACAAAATGGTCTTTGGCGATATACCAGTTGGGGTGGTAGCTTTCAGCAGGTTATCACAAATTTTAAAAAATCAATTAAAAACATGAAAATTTCATTCATAATGATTATATACGGTAATAATTATTATAAGATGAATTGTTTCGTGAAAAATGAATTTTTTTAATCATAACTTAAATGATTGATATGTTCCTCAAAACATTACAGTATGTCAATGAACATGATAGTGATAATTGTAAGTTGAAGAAAAAGCGCAATAAACCACCAGGACATGTTCAATGGAATTTACAAGAAAATATTGAATTAGATGAACCAAAAAATACATCAAATCTTGCCGAAACATCAAAACAATTGAAGAAGGTTTGTTAAACAAATTATCATAAAAGTCTTTTTTATCCATCATAAATTATTCTACTTCTCTTATTACATATAATATTTATTTATTTATTACCGTATTGCTTATCTTCAACTTAACTCAGATATATTTACTGTAATTAATCAATTACAATTGTTTTAATTGAACTAAGTTTTTGTTAAGCTTTTTCAAATTTATTTTTCTTTTTCCCACATTTACATTACATCTAATTCGAAATTTCTATATATTTGATGTGAAAACGGCTCGAAATAAATAAATTTAAAATTAGCTATTTTTATCCGAAATTTTTAAATTTAAAATAGTAAAAAAATTTTCTAATTTTGTAAGAGAAATATTTAGATTGGTTTAATTCAAAATTTTTTAGTAATTTAATCAATCTTTCAACATCACAAATTTTTTCTCAATTTATCTGATAAAATTATCAGTCTACTAAACTATAACTTTTGATAATATAGGAAATATGATTTTGTGGAAGTGATAAAAATAATAATAATAATAATAATGGAAACAAACATACAATCATTTTATCTATTTTTATTGTTTCCTTTTTCAACATTATTGTATATTTGATTTGTTTTTATTGTAAATGAAATCCTATTTACATACGATCATTAACATATTAAATGACGAATTATTCATTTTCTTTTCAGGTAAGAAAAGAAGAAGAAGAAGAAGAAGAAAAGGATAGGCTAACTAATGCTGTTCGAAGTATTAGTGTAGGCGCAAATAAGCCTAATCATTATCATGATGATAACGGGCTTAGAACTTATAGTCTACCATCATCTTTACTAAATAACGAAAAAGTTGACAAACAATTCATCAAAGGTTCCTTTTTTCTTTCTTTAAGTTATAAAATTGATTATTATCCTAAAAAGAAATACAATCTTAATAAATAATTGTACAGCATAGATCAATCACTTTTTTAACTTTTAATGAATCTATCTTTGTTTTAATCTACCTTTGTTTTAATCTATCATTGTTTTAATCTATCAAAATTATTGGTAAAGCAATTAATTAAATAAAATGCAATAAAAGTGCGAAATAAATTTGAAGCAATCATATAATTTATTAGAAAGATGAATAAATAGCTGGAAAGTACAGGAATAAACAATCAGAAATCAATCTATTAGTTTTCAACATTAGCTTCTTTATCTTATCAAATAGTAAATAATGTTCCGAATGAATAAACAATATCAGGCTGTCAACAAACAGCTAGTTTAGATCACCAACATGAATTCAACATTTTGCTTTTTACTAATAATTTTCTTACAGTAATAAATAATTTTCATCATAATTTCAAATTTTTTCGATATTTTTGCTTGATTAGAATTTATGAAAATCAATTATCCATCTAATACTTAAGTAATTGATTACTTTTTATCTTGCAGACTTTCAACAAGGAGTATGATGACATCTCAGTTCAATTCTTTGGGGGTAAAAATCAATTCGACAATACGCCGCCATTTCTATCAACTCATTAACATTCCATATTACATTGATTCATAATTATCTAATTAGAAGAAAAAGGAATGGAAGAAAGTATCATGTTTGATTTTAAAGATATTTCAAAAGTTAACTTCACATAATGATGAAATCAAAAAAAGGAATAAACTGAGAAGTTAGCAATTAGCTGATGGAAAGTATCTTTCAAGAAGTAGAATGAGTACATAGATGGATACATAGATCAACACTGCCATTGATGAATGACAAAACTTTCCGTTTCTCATTCAGTATTTATTTTGGAATTTACTGAAACTTTTTTTTTCCCTTTTTAATATTTTGAAATTTGTTGAAAAATAAATATCTTATTTTCAATGTATGTAACAACGATTGAACAAGAAAGGAATGATTAATGAAGTTCTATGAGTAAGTTTTGAAGAAAGCAAAGAAACAGTAGCTGATGATGTGCACTGATGATAATGACGATAATAACAATTATCGATGATAATAATGATAATGATGGTGATGATGATGATTGATGGCAAAATGATAAAGAGAATTTAAAATGCTGAATTCAGCAGGCTTTTGTTATTAAATACTTTCACGTGTGTGGGATACAAACAATGATTAATTTGGACATTTTATGTCATCCTTCCTGAAATAATACTTTCATGTGCGTGTGTGTCTGCACATGTATGTCTGTGTCTGTGTGTATGTGTCTGTATGCCTCTGTCTCCATAATTTAACCATTAGTATATGTGCGACAAAAATGGTTTATTTCGATGGTCATTTTTTGCATATTTATTTAAGGCTAATAGCAAAATCTGCCTTCAAAATATTAATTATTGATTGTAAGCGATAATGACTTAATGAAAAAAAGGATATCACAGCAGTAATTGATGAGAAATACAAGAAACAATGTATTTGGAAATTAATGAGAATTACAAGAAGCAAAGTGACAGAGATTGATAATATGTGCGAGAAACAAAGCAGTAGAGATTGAAAAGAATTAGGGGAAACAAAGTGGCAGAGATTGATAAGAATTACGAGAAAAAAGGGACAAAATGAATATAGGAAATTAGAATCGGCAGCAATAATTCAGATATGTTACTATTTGAAAAAAAGTTTCAAAAAATGTATTTCGCATTTTAAAAAATATTCTTTTACTTTGGATGTATAAAAGAGAAGTGAGGCATTAGATTACTGACTTAATTTGAATAATTATATCCATCTATTTTTGCTGATAAACAATATTTGATAAACTGATCATTATTTGCAAACGCACTTCAAACAGTCTATGATTGATTACAATTATGCGATAATACATCAAATTTACATGATGTTCTTATGTTTATGTTTAGCATAATATCGTTTATATGTCAAACGATCACGTGGTTGATTGATTGATTGATTGATTGATTGTATTCACTTAGCAGATTTATGCTATAAAAATCAAATCATAATTGTTTCCCTTCAGAAAATTTCAAAAAAAATGAAACTTCGCGCTTTCAACCATTCCTCTTTTCTGAGGGAAGAAGAGAAGAAAAGAGAGAGAGAGAGAGAGACAAAAAATGGAGGGAAGGAGAGAGAGAGAGAAGTGTATCCGCTTAGGTACAGCTCGGAAACGATTGCGTTGTTGGATGCTGCGAGGTATTATTGTTTTTTTTCGAGCTATTGCACTGCTATTGGTGCGTGATATTTAGTACGTGAATTACGTAACACTTCACGTGTTTCTGGTTGTGCAATATTTCATATGTGCACAATTATGTGATATCTTTCATGCTAATTATTGAGATCTCGCGTATCTACAATTACATGATATCCCACTTATCTGTGATCTTTCTACTACGCAGAGTTATGTTCACATGATTATGTATACAGTTATTTCTGTATGTATATATTACATGTATAGTATGTGCGGCATTCTCATACATTTACAACCATGTGATATTCGATTTTATTTGCAAAATGTACACGTGAAATAAATTTTCATCATTCGTCACAGCGTATCACTGATTATTATTTGTATACTGATTAGTTCGCAGTGTTTCGAATTTCTAAAAAGTTATTTCCGTGACAGCTTGATTACGAGTGTTTCAGTTAATGAGAATTCAACTTATCAAGTAATTTATTCCAGTATACGAGGATAGATTCGGAAAAACCTTCGGGCTTAGATTCTGAGCGTTGATATCATCTATATAGCATCATTCGTTTTTAGATGAATGATTTCATTTAAAGACAGTTATGCAATTTCTTTTCTTTCGTGGCTAAATGAATAGTGCCTATTTTGCTGAAACTTTACAACTTCAGACAAAATATCTATTGTGAAATTCATTGTTGTATTTCATTTGCGGGAATTCGATATTATAACCGGGAAAAGTAACAATCAAATGGAAACGGCAATGATAAAAAAGACAAATAAATTCATAAACAGTGCCGATAGTGCCGTGGACGATAGTATTCGTGGGTTAATTCTTTCGCATGACAATTTGGCAACTTTAGATGTAAGACTTATGTATTCTGCTTCTTTAAATTAAGTTTTGATTAGTTAAAAATGCAAATCTATTGGCTATAACGGTTTGATCAGGAAATTGAAATAGACATGCTAAGCCTTATTTAAGGTTTCATTACACTGTAATAAAGGTTGTTTTATGTCACATTATTGAGAGCGTAAGTAATTTTATATTTCTTTCTTAATAAGATTTCTTATAAAGCTCGATAAATTAATATTAGCAGATTTTCTTAAGGCTGAAATATTTTGCACCTATTTAGTAAATTTTGATAATAATTGCTATTTTTTGTGTGCCTTCATGACAACATGTGTAAAGTTACCGTTGACGGATTTTTTTTAATTTCAGTGTTGTTATCGTGTAATCCTTCGAGCTGATATTGATAAGCTGAAAGGAGGAAAACAGGTAACGCTACTTGCTGGTGGAGGTTCTGGACATGAACCATTTGCGGCAGGTAATGGTGTAGAAAATTTAAATTCAATAAAAAGTTGGAGTTTTTAACATTATTTCATAATTAAGGTAATTTTTCTCATAATTTTTCGTTTTGTTGTAACATAATTTATATATGAATAAGAAAAAACTCTTTTATTGAAATATTCGATGGGAATTTCAAATGTAATAGAAAACAGAAAGGACTAAATTTTAGTTTAAACTTGATTTGATAGGTTTCGTTGGAAAAGGTTTACTATCAGCTGCAGTTTGTGGAAATGTCTTTGCATCACCACCAACTTCTCATATATCGGCTGGCTTAAACGCTATTCGCAACAGTTGTAAGTGATTATTTATAAAAATTTTTAAGTTATTGTTTATGTTCTGGTAAACTGTACTTTAGCAGTCAGTTTTCAGTTTGCTTTTGCTGTTGAATTTTAGTCTTGTATTATGTGAAACTTATCCTTATTTTATTTGTCAGCTGGGATAGCAGTATTTGTTATCAATTATACTGGAGATCGACTTAATTTTGGTTTAGCTGTGGAACGATTCAATAGGAGTCGAGAAAAAGAGGTTCTTGGACATGTAATATTTTTTGGGCACGCTGAAACCCTCAATGGTGTCAATTAATTAATAGCAAAAAATATAATTTAGGGTGTTAAGCTTCATTTGAAAATTTCATGCGCTATGAATACATTATTGTGGGGGGATACTTTTTTCTACTTTTTAGTGGACACAATAATTAAAACTATATTCACAGAAGTCAAACTGACGCTAATTAGATGCAGTATGTATTACCTTTGATGTAATTGTAATTGTCGAACTGTTCTTAGATGACTGAAACTTAAGTTTCACGCAATATGTGCTGGAAGTTTTTTCGACATATGGATATTCAGGATGGTGAAGTGGAAATGGTAATGATTGGTGATGACGTAGCCTTAGAAAGTAGTCTTGCTGGACGAGATGTTGGACGTCGTGGTTTAGCAGGTGCTGTATTGCTGTTAAAAGTAAGTTTTCAAAATCTATTCCTATATATAAATTTCTCAATTACCCTGTGGATTTTACGTAATCGATTTCCTGTCTGTAGATTGTTGGTGCAATGGCTGAAGAAGGCAAAGATCTGAAAGCAATAACGGCAACATCCAGAAGTGTAAATGATAATTTGGGTGGGTTGAACGTAGTCTAGCTAAATAGAAAGAAAATATAATATTTTGATTGGTATTTGTTTAAAAAGATTTTGGCAATTATGATTATGAAATTATTATTATTAAGGGAATTGGAATTTTTTCAAGACAAAAATACACCTGATGTAATTTTGCAATTTTGAGATCACTAAATTCATCTAATTTTGTGTTTTAATGTTATAGTAGAGAGTTTTAATTGTAATCGTTTCCAGGTACTATTGGCGTAAGTCTTTCTGCATGTAGTTTGCCTGGGAGAGGCCCGATGTTTGAACTAGAGGCTGATCAAATGGAATTTGGTCTCGGTATACATGGCGAACCTGGTTTTGAAAGAAGTCAATACAGGACGGCAAAAGAAGTGGCAAAACTGCTACTGGAAAAACTTGAGAGCAGTCAGAAACTGAATCTTCAGAAAGGTAGTGTGGTAGATGAATTTAAATTTCACGAACTCTTAGTTTATCCCCGAAGCATGAAAATTTATAAGTTGAACTGTTGAACAATACACATAATTCTTCGAAAATTTATTCAATTTGTGGAATTTCGCTTCTTTGAAGTGATTGAGTATGAATGATAGAGTTTTAGACCGATGAATTTTATATTTCTCGCAGATTGCTACTATTTCATTGAATGCATGGATAAATCTTTGAGACGAGTTTTCTGCATGTACTGATAGTTTAACTTTGTAGGTGAAAAGCTAGTTGTTCTGTTAAACAATCTTGGTGGAACATCGCAAATTGAACTCAACATCCTATCTGGAGAAATTTACTCATGGTTGTGTAAGTTCTCTCCTTATCAATTTTACCATTTGCTCATAAATATATCAAATAATCGATAATTTAACTGTCATTGTAGTTCGACCGACATATTGAATGTGTGCTTAAAAGTTTAATTTTCATGAAACAAAAAACGAACATAATGTTGACATGTCTTTATTGAAGTGAGTACATTCAATTTGAGTTATTTGAAGATTCATGATATAAATCTGTTAAGGTGAAAAAGGTTATTGCATTCAACGTTTCTATATCGAAAGCATGATGACGTCGTTGAATGGACATGGTATCAGTATTACAATTTTACGACTGGTATCATACGATTGGTTACAGTATTTAGGTACATGTGTTAAAGTTTGCTAAGAAATTGTATTCTGCAAAATTTTTTCCGTTGAATCAGAAATCAAGTTTAGCAAGTTTTGTACGGTTACAATTTTGGTTTTTATTCTTTTTTCTGGTATGAATTATGGTTTTACGTTGGCATCATACGAATAATAGAAAGTGATAATTAAGATGCGGTGACTGAAGCACCTGCGTGGAAGATGAGGCATTTCCCTCCTAAACTTTTATCTAGTGTAAATGAAATCAAATCAGCGAAAAAGAAACAGAGAATCAATAAGCATGTTGGAGCAACACTTTCTAAAGGTTTAATTCTGTTACTGATTTTCGTACTGACTAGTTATATTGGAATATATCAGCGATATTTTAAATTATTCATTAATATAATGTAAGAATACCGTCCAAATACTTTAACCCAAAATAAAGTTTAAGAATTTGTTACAGTAGGAAATTTTCAGCTTATAAAATCAGAGGCACAATAAAATCTTTTCTGAGTTTACGAATATATTATCTATATTTCCCATTTCATGCTCTACCATTTGTTGGCTGTCTATTTCGACTTGTCAATTTTATATAATATATTATTGCGGGTGCAATGGAATAAACAATTTTCTGTTAGCTGATTTTGCAATGCTATCATAGCTAGAAGTTTTTATGCATCGGCTTAATTGAAGCAATCATGCACGGATATACAATAAAGGTTCTAATATTCCAGAAGGTACAAGACGTGTGGAAGCAGCTGTAAAGAAAGCCTGTACAGCAATCCATGAATCTGTGGATGTATTGAACGGTTTAGATGGTATTGCGGGAGATGGTGATTGTGGAACTACTCTAAAAATTGGTGCTGATAGTAAGTTTCAGTTGTCCACTTACTATGCTTTCATTATAAAATAATAGTCTAGTTTTTATTATCTTGGTGTTATTATCCATAGTTTTACAATTAAATAATTTTAAGTTATTTTACTATCTACGCCATTTTTCGTAGTCATTTTGCAGAAATTCTGAAATGCTTGGATGAAGGAAAGCTTAGATGTGACGTTCCACTATCGTTATTTAATGAAATTTCACAAATATTTGAAGATGATGTTGGTGGTACAGCTGGAGCAGTGAGTTTTCAATTCTTTTGATTGCTGCATATTTTCCAAATTGCTTCGGTTTCGATGTAGTAACACGATCAATTCGATTTTAATTGTCGATTTTCATACGCAGCAATTTAAAAGAAATTATAAGAATTCATTGACATTCTTACAAGAAAAGCCTGTTCATTACTGTTTCATCATCCATGCTGTTATATTTATCTTTGCTGCACCTGATCAGTGATCCCAGTGTATTTGCAGTGAAAAAAGCTATATTTTTGAGAATAAAAATTGATATCAGTTCTTTATGCTTTCATTAATAATGATATATGTTTTTCCGCTTTCCAGTTGTACGCATTGATGTTCAGCTCTGCAGCTCAAGCATTTGTCGAATCGACAACTGCAAAAGAGTGGTATATAGCATTGAGGAATGGCCTAAAGACTATTATGAAATATGGGCAAGCTAAACCAGGTTCTAGATCCATGGTTCGTTTCTTTCATTTGTATTTTTTGTAGCTGCAGGATTACTAAGATTTGATTTAAATGATATGAAACATTTAACATATATGATGACGGGATATTAATAACTCAAGCTTTTCTTTAGGAATTTTCATTATTGATAGTATATAATTGCTTTTTAAGCTCAAAGGTAATTTTGCTTTAAAACCGAATGTTAAAGTTCCACTCGGATTACAAAATATCTTACTGAGAAAGTTGGGAGGAGTCGAATATTCTTTTGATCTTTGGTAAAATAAATATCCGTCGAAGATTGTATAGTTCACCTGCACTTATATTTTTTCTTAAATTACCTTTGAGTACCTTTTTTAAATTACCTTTTTTTTTCTTAAGGGATTTGTAACTTTACTGGGGTACTTTCGATGCAACTAATAATTACAGGTGGATCCTCTACATGCTGCCGTAACAGCAATATCTTGTGAAAATCCAGGAAAAGAACAGTGGGAAAATGCTGTGAAGGTAATTTTCGATTTTATTCCTGCAGTTTTATTTTCGATTTTTGTTTGCTAACTTTACCCCATTGATATCTAGCTTTCTCGTTAGGAACTTGCGGTTATGTTGATTCTCTTTTGATCTGCATTATCTGTTTCCTTGTATTTCGTGTTTTTAATTGTTTTCTTGACTTTTCGCTTCAAAAGTTATATATCAGTTATTGGTAATAGTTTTAACTCATCACTAGAAGACAGACCAATGTTGATTGTTTGCTGCACTTCACTCCAAGATTTTGTTCCATCTTTTTTACATGAATTGTTTGCAGCAAGCTGAAGAAAGGGCAGAAGCAACCAGCGGTATGTTTGCTCAAGTGGGCCGTGCAAGTTACACTTCCGCATTGGTACAAAAAAAACCAGATGCTGGTGCAGTTGCGGTGTCTATATGGTTGCGAGCAGTTTATGAAGCTGTTTATTCGTAATTCGAATTTGAAATTAATAATTATGTTGGGATTTTGCAGCACAGATTGTACATAGTAACTGTTGGATCCAGTACTAATGGGGCCTGAAAATCAAATTCATATACATATAGTTGCAATTAATTATATTCTTCTACCATCCATTTATTTGCTCTAATTAGAAATTCTCTAACTAAAAACTTTTATGCTAATGATTATGCACAGTTTTTGGTGCGTTAACTGGCTTCGAAAACATTGCGTTTCGGATCCAATGATCTTTATAATTAGAAAATAGAATTGTTTTAAATTTCAGTAATTTACAGGCTTTCTAACTAAAGTTTATCGATTTCATTGTCTTTTGAGCGATAATTCTTCATATTTGGGAAAAGTGATCTTCAACTAGGAAGTAAAATTTCATGCATTTCAATGAACATATTTTTGAACTGATTTTTTATTTTCTTTGTTTTTAAGGTTATAAATTATATGGGAATATCCTTAAAACTTTGTTGCAAAACTAGCACAATCACTTCTCATGTCAAGCAATTTTGAATTTCGTAGCCTACTTCTTCTTTTAGCTGTGACAGATCAAATATGAGTTTTATATTTTTAGGTGATCAGAGTTAGGTAAATTCGTCTGTCCGCAGTAAGTTTACGTCGGCATTGTTGTTCTATAACTTATTGTTGCTGTTGTCCTCGATGCAATTCATATATATATAATTTCAATCCTCCATTTCCGTGTATATATATATATATATATATATATGGAACTGGAGGATAGAAATTTTCACCATTCGTTTCCGCTTTTCCTCTAAATTTAATTTGCAAATGTTAGTTAAAAAAAACATGAAATGTCCTTCACTTCTTTTTTCCGAGGTTAAGATGAGATGGGAAGTTTTGCTATAAAAAAGACTCTTTAATAGAAATATTTAATAGATAAATGGTGAGAAGATTTGAGGTAAAAATTGTACATACAATTTTGTGATAACGAAATTTACGGTTAGAAACTGGAAGAGGAAATAAAGATATGTCAGAAAATGAACAATATTGAAATAAAAGTTAGCAAAAATTATATTCCGATGTATAAGGACCTGGGATGAGTTGAAAAATGAAAATGAAAATTTTCTTATTAACAAATCCATTCAAATATGTTGAATAAAAAGTTTGGATAAATTTAAGAACGTATATATTTGTTCGTTTATTCTTGAACCTTTAAAATGGCAACATGTTATATATTTCTAAAGTGAATTAGGTTATTTCTGCTTTTGACATATCCTTTTTAAAGACCTTTCCATTTTCTGATTCATCGCTGGAAGTATGTTGCATATTTGTCATCCATTTCTTCTTCGTTCATATAGCTTATAGTAATAGCAACAAAAATGGTTTCTTGACATAGCAAAAATATTCCTTTGCAGGTAAAAAATAGCAAAAAAAGGACAAAACTACCAAATCGTGCATAAATTACCGATGTCTGAAAGCCATAGTATGGAAAGTCTTTGATGTGAGAAACTCTTGTCAAAAATAATCTTCATATGATACGATGAGGTCAAAATGGATCAAATTCCAACAAATTTTGCTAAATGTGTTTTTCCTACAAAAAAAGGGATATCTCATATTTGACAACGATCTTCGAAAGATTTGGCCTATATATGAGATTATCAGTTGATAAGAGATGAATTATGAGTTAAATCTAACTCTGAGTTGGTCAAACTTGAAGGACAGTTGATAGGATTAGTTAAATGTCAACTTATCTCATAATTAATGGTCAAGAATCCATTTCTTTTTCTCAAACTTCGGGTGTGACTTTATAAACTTGTAACTATCTATCGCGGAGCTCTCTAAAAAAGAGAATAAGAATCTCTGGAACAATTGATATTTGGATTGTACTTAAACCTGTGAAAAGTTAAGGAATGCTAGTCTATGACTCCAATAAGGTAATTCTTAACATTTACAATAATTCTAACCGTGCTTTATGAAATAGCCTGTTAGAAATGCTTCATAAACATTTGATAATACTTTTACATATTCATTAAACATAAGTTTAGTTTATCAAATGATTTTTGAAAAGTATTTAAGATGAAATGAGAAATAAGGGAGAAAGAGATGAATTATTATTTATTCATACTTTGAAAAAATTTTGCAAAAAATTTCTTGTCTTTTTCTAATTTCATTTAAATTTTTTTAAGTTAATGTGGTTTGTTTAATCTGATTAAATTAATTTATGAAAACAATTTTTGTTAATGAAATGAAGGTCAGTGAATGATGCCATCATATATACATACATATGCACTTCCTTTCATTGATTTTTTTCTATTCAAATTTCAAAAATCTTTTAAATTTCGATAAGAAAAGCGCTTATAACAAATCATCAAAGCGCGCTTCTTTTCTGTCACTTGTCTTCTTCGGTCTGTTATATACGAACATACACACACACACACACACACACACATACACATATACACATACACATACACATGCGTACATACACATATATACATACATACACATATATAAATACATATAAATGCATGCATACATACATACATACATACATACATACAATATTGTTTATCTTCGTCTTTTGTTTGATTTTAATTTCCTCTGATTTCCCGTCTCTTCAAATAGGATCTGAGGATTTCTTCGATACGATTATCTCTCCATTTGATGATTCATCGTAAAAGATACGGGGAAAGAGAGAGGGAAATTGGAGGATAAGATTTATTACCAGTTTTTTGATTTCACTTTTTTTCAATGTAAATTTTTTTATTTTCTCAATTGTGATATATCATTTTATCATAACTGTGATTTTAGAAATGTTGCGGTAAATATTAGAATTTGAAATTTGAAATGAAGAATGAGATTCAGAATTTATAAAATAAAATTGATTTTATTAATCCATGTAAGAAAACGGTCGAATTTTTTTTACTTATGTATCAAATGATAGAATCTCATCTACTTTTTCTTCTTTCTTTTATGCAAAGTTTTTGTGGAAAATTTTAAATGATCGTGATAAAAGTTTCGATTACCATCGTTCCCATCACGTTACGCTTATTGCATTTATTTCTTTTTATTCTTTGTAAAAATTTAAATGAAATTTGGAATTTCAGAAGTACGCTTTAACACACCGACAACTAACCGGCAAGTTTTACTAACCCCACATGAACCGTGACATCGAATCGGTAATTGATGATGCCGTTGCACTAATCAGCTCATTGAATTCTTCACTCGATTTCATTCCTCCTTATAATGTTGGTGCCTTTTCTGCAATTAATTCCGAATTTTAGAAAACTAGAAGAAAGAATTATAAAATAAAGCAGTTGTTACATTTTTATGCATTAAATTAAGTTGATTAGTTGGTCCACAGACTTGAAGTGGCTTGAATTAATTGGAATATAAATTTGAAAACACTTAGGGAGTAGTAATAATATTAGTGCTGGTATGATGGAAAAATTCCCTATTGCAGGTTGATGCGATGAAGAAATGTATCACTAACATTAACAAATTGTACAAGAAAAATGCCGATGATTTGTGAGTAAATTATTAACTAATTAATCGAACTTCGAGGCAAATCGCTGTTTTTCTAAACCTAGGAAAAATCTTTTTCTAGTCATCTAATTATAATTTACAAAAACAAAAAAGGCGATGAAATAGCTACCACTGACATTTGAAATTATAACAATTTTTGATTCGAAAATATTGAAATGATATGTTGTGGAGAAGCATCACACGCTGTTGTACACTATGAGTAATTTACTAGTAGAAATATGTTTATTGTCTCTAAATAACGAAGACTTTCAGGATGATCTTAAAATCAGGTTCTATACCGGAAAAGAGTAGAAAACAAGAAGTAGCAGTAACAGCACATGCGAGACAAAGTTGTATTGAATATATTAAACGATGCTGTTGCACTTATTTACATGAACGCATGTTGCGGATAAAACATTTCCGTTGGATATATGGTGGGCATATACCTGAAAAAATTAAGGTAAACCATTTATTCATTCTTTTCCGAGTTTTTCTCCTAAATGTTTATATTATGACTTTATATAGAAGCATCTTCTTTTAATGATTTCTTTCGGGAAAAAAAAGGTATAAATTGTTTCTGTTTAATTGTTTCCTGTGATCTTTTAGATTAATATTGTTTACATCAACTTTTTCAGTGAAAGTAAAGAAAAAAACTGTCTTTTTAACATTTCGATTTGTAGGCTATCTTAAAAGTTTACTTAGTTGTTGTTAACCTTCTATTGTGGAAGCATCTGGCGTCATCAAGTTTCAAAGTTACTTAAATTCAAAGTTTCGGAGTTATCAAACTGAACTCACATCATCTCGAAGTTACCTATTAATTTTTTAATAGATATACTCAATAAATTAGATGAGAAATGCAGTCCATGTACATATGAAGTTTAAGCGGAATTTCTTTTCAACTCTTCTTGTCTTCAAAAATACAAAGAAGAAGGATATTCTGGTTTCCTGGATGATAATTATCAACATATTATGAAGAATCGATTGTTAGCTGTAAAACAAAATCATTTCGCCGGCTTTAAAATCAATATTTTGCATTATTCTTTTTCTTGCTGCAGAATCTCTAATTTTCAGGAAAATCTGTGTGAAGCGGAACTGAAATGGCTACAGGAATACAACAGTCTTCTCGCCGATTTTCAAACTTCGCTTGGTGAGAATGGAGTGAATTTATTGTTGAATATGAAACCGCCTCATAATTTATTTGTCAAGGTCAGCTTCTTTTAATTTACTCATTTTTTCTTTGTATTGGCTCATTTTTGCACTTCACCTTATCGTGTCCTTTTTTTCCTTGAATTTTCTTACCATAAATTTTTCTTTTGTATTTTTTGCAATTTCATTCGAATCAAGTTAAAATAAATTAAATTAATGGCTTAAAATACTGATAAATCGCATGCAAGTATTAATCATATCGACGAAATTATTATATCGAATTATCACATCAGCGAAATTTATCAGTTTGTTTTCCTAGGTCCGGGCAAAACAAAATATTGGTTCTTTTGAATTAAGCGATGGAACAACGGTTTCTCTTACAGAAAACGCATTGGTATAGTCTTCTTTTTTTAATTTTCTGCATTTTTAAAGAATCTAGAAAAATCTTAATAAATTTTTCGAAATTTTCTATATTATCCTTTACTTGATATTGTTTTGGTTTTATATTTGTCAATAATTTTCGGTTTAAGTTGCTGCTTAAGAAACGTTCTGGCAGGCTGCCACGCGATGATCAATCTTTGATATTCAATAAAAAAACTAAAGTAGATAGATAGATAGATCGAACGATGGCTATTTCTCTTTTTGTTTTACAGCACTCGTTACCTGTGGCCGATTGCGAGATGTTGATTAGGCAAGGGATGTTGGAGCTCGTTGAATAATGATTTGGAGTTTTATTGTGATATTTGTGTGTGACTGTGTGTCTACTCGTATGAGTTGTGTTGTTGTTCCTTTGTTTTTATTTTATTATGTTTCTTGAATTATTTCGAAAAGTTTATTTATTTTATTTATGCAACATTTTTTGGTATTTTTACTCAAAAACACTGAGAACTTCAGATTTTATAAGTGATCCAATGGATGAATTGGAAGGGATTGGTCTTATATGTGCATGATACTTATCGCTACACATTGTATATCAATATTTTTTTTAATGAGGAATTCAATTATACAATTAGAAAAGGGAATTTTAGATGAAAATGCCATAAATACTATCTTGTAAAAGGACATGAAATTACTAATAATGGGAGTATTTAGCAAGAGAGTATAAGAGAAACGTTCCCAACTTTGTTCATTGTCTAACAATACTCCGTGTTCCATGTCGTACAAAACCTATGGCCTGACGTTTACGTACGGCTATCTACAACTGGCTGCTCCACGTATCATTTTCTACAAACTCCAGTCCTTTACATTTGGCAACGTGCGTTTTTTAAATTTCCAATCAAGACTTTTCCCGCCATCCCAGCATTTTGCAACAAAATTCGATGAAAGAGAAGCGGGAAAATACGCGGCGCCGTAAAGAGGGCAACGATGCGACAAGACGGGACAGAATGTATCTCTATGTGTATGTATTATATATATATATATGTGTGTATGTGTGTACGTGATTTATGTTAGTGGGCGTGTGCACACCCCTGAGAATTTCCAAATGTTTTGGCGCCAACCGTTCACTCTGACCAACCTGAATGTCATTGTCGACCCAGCAATCTATCTGTCATCATTCGCCTCGCGCATTCCATCGAAACAGACGACCGGTCGAACCCGACGATCGGTTGATCATCCAGTTAGTCAGTTAACCATTGAGTCATACAGTTTGTGAGTGAGTGATCATTTGGTTAGATTGCTGGGCGTGCTGTTGAATTGGCCGCTTACAGGCAGCTTCTTCTTCGATCTTCGATGGATAGATATTCAGTCCCTCGTTCATAGGCTATGCTGCCATTTCCTCAGTACCATTTGTTATTTCCATTTCCTCTTTACCAATCTCTTCCGGTATCGGATTGAGTGATCTGGATTCCATTTTTTTTTCAATTGTACTTTATACTTGATTAGTTTTCTGGATTTTGGCATACTTTCAGCAATTATCTTTTAATTGTAAAATAGAAATGTTAATTCCGAAACTATGAAGCGAACTTCCTGAACAGTGAACAGTGCGGAATTGTGAATTATAAGAAATCTGAAAAATAAATCTAACTTTTCATTATTCACCGGGACAATTTTCAAATTACAGACGGTGGCATGCGATAGATTCACGATATCCAGGCTCTTTTATGCATACATCTGTGGAAATTGCAGTCCTTCCGTCAATCCCTTCAGTCATTCAATACCTTCTATATTTTGTCGTTAACAAATATATCTGTATATATATGGTTGAGCATCTATCTAACTCTCTTCTTTCCTCCCCCGCAGCCATCTTCATAAAATCTTCCCGCAGGATGTATGAGTGTGTGTGTGTATATATGTGTATGTGTATGTGTGTGTGTGTATGTGTATGTGTATGTGTGTGTATGTGTATGTGTGTGTGTTGTAGGATGAAAGGAAAAAGGAAGAAAATGGAGGTCGAATGGTCTGGTCTGATCGAGGAGGAGGCAAGGGTGTCATTGAGGAAGAATAAGGAGGGCGGTTTAAGGAGTATGCATGAGAGGGGAAGAAAAGGGTAGAATGAAACACCTCTACCCAATACCATATCATCCTTATCTACCTCTACCTCTACCTCTACCTCTACCTCTATCCCTACCCTTGCCCTTACCCTTACCCTTGCCCTCACTCTTACTACCATCAGCACCATCCTTTTTACAAGTGTACATCTGCTGGGCGTATATCGTCAGAATACTACTCAGATTGCGTGCGTATATATATATATATATATGAAGGAACGTTTTTTACGGTTCATTGGGATATGGATGTGATGTGGTGAGGATCATGTAATCGCACTCTCATCATTTTTAAATGTATATGGGTTGAAATGGATGTCATCAATGATAAAGAATGATAATATTGAGTAATATATCAATTCTCTGAATTGTCTATTTAATTAGCAAGAAATGATCATATTGGCATAATTAAGAGCGAAATATCAATGTATTACTGTCTAAGGGTTAATACAAATAGGAGGAGAATATTTCGAAACTTTTTTTCCCTAATCTTTTTCGATAGATGTGTGATTGTAGTCGGTTTCTTTCTTTTAAAATCCTTTCCTTTTGATTGTTTCCTTCAATGTTTGGCATTACGCCTCGCAGATGTGTGTTATGTGACGAGGTATTCTTATACTTTTTTTATCTTTCTTTGTTCATGGGCTATTATGAGTGGTAGGTTAGCATTCTTTCTCTTCCGTTTTTGCCTCTCTTCATGAAGCTTTGACCTTAGATAGAATTTAAATGATATGATTCTCCCTCTCTTTATAACTCTTACAACTGTGACCCAATGTGACCTCTAGTAGAGAAGGAACTGGATTCTTTCACTGGAGAAGACTCGTTTGATGAGCTCTCTTTCTCTTGATTGTATAGTGACTTTTAGTACATCCCAAATGATATGACCTCTCTTTCCAAGAGCTATGTGACCTTAAGTCCTTTCTGTTGATTTGTAGCGAAGAGTGTCATGGAAAAGATTTGAATTTGTAAAAATTTGAATTTTTATATTATCAGTTTCTTGCCCTTTTTTTTCTCTTTCATTTATTGTTTAACCATGTTTTCAACCTTATGATGCCATTCGGGTTTCAGCTTGAAGGATGTGTTGGCGTTTTCAAACATCTCTCGTCTTATTTTGTCCTTCCGTCTTTCTCTATTACCGTCCCTCTTTAGCATTACTTGAAAATTTTGTAATGTTTTAAGGACTGTCTCCAGGATTTGTGTGTTTTTTCCCTCTGCTGTAATACTTTTATCCAGAAAATATCATCTACACATAATGATGCTGTTTGCTCGTAGCTGGGCATGGTTCTTAGTCATGTGACATACAAAGGATTCATGACTAGAACCATACTCAGCTACGCGATCTGGCATTCGTGTCCGATCTATCCTCTTGTGCCATCTCTGGTCACTTTATTATCAGTCGTCATCCTTTCCGTGCCGGATCAAGTCGTAAGGGTCTTCGCAGACGGTGCTGTTTCCTTCAAGGATCACTTTCACACATCCTATATAACTATTTTTAGCGAAGTCAAGGAAGTTTCGCGGAAAAGAGGAATGAAGTAAAGGAAGTTGGTGGTCATTTATGAGAGGGAATGAGTCGTACTGTCTGATCGGAAGTTAATTCCCGGGCGAAGCTCCATTGATCATCTTGGATTATAAAAATCCTGTAGTATCATATAGGGTTAAAGATTATGGCAATTATCATGAAAAGGTTATGGGTGTATAAGGACATTTCCATAAGAAATTGATTATGGAAGCAGAATCTTATTTACTTATAATGAAATTAGTTAAATTTATGTGCCCATAAATCATCATTCCCAATTTAAACCCCACAGTTTGGAATTTGAATTATAAAAGATTATTGAATTATGCTGTAATCAGACTTCTTCTGGCAGGAAATTCTATTAAAATAAGAAAGTGAAATCTATCCGCGTTGTGAGGAGTGGCGTTTTTTGGATTGTTTATTTTTTTTCTTCCATAGTGGTGTGCAGAAGGCATTTATAAGGTTTAGACCGACTGGGATAGGTTTTTTTGCCGGTCGGCATGATTCATCTCTTTATTTTTTCTCTTACCCTCTTTGTTAGTGAAAGAGAATAATATATTGGAAGATGTTAAAAGAACATATGTGTTGTTGACCTTCCCTTTGCTGGTACTTATTGTCAGTTGCCTGAAATTTCCTACTTTTCGCGTAATAACTTAAAGTAGCAGATATACTGATATCGAAAAGGCCGTTGCTAGGGTTAACATTTTATCGGCTCATTTTTGTGAAGTATATAAGCGATGAGTTGAAAAACAAGTTTGTTCAGTATGTGTGCAGCAGGTTGTCCGGTGTTTCCGGTATTCTCAATAACTGATGGGGAGGAGATATTAGTAGAATGAATATAACTGACTTCATTTATTTGAAAAACTGGGATTTGTAGATTGTGGTGCGCTATCCCGTTGCTTCCGAATTTTAGAAAAGGGCATAGTGTGAAGTATGAATAAGTTTGAAACAAAGTGAGTTTTGGTAGAGTATATTGTAAGGTACGGTGATAGAATGATCCCTCTTTTTCCTCGAACATATGCATTCTCTGATTGTAAATCAAAATGATACTAGTAATTATCTTTCTCACGCCTACTGCCTACGACTAGCTACATCAATCAACCTAAAGCTGATAGATTTACAGTAGTTTGCTTCGTTGTTTGGAGCAGTGATTAGTCGAACCAATGAGAAATGGCAGATTTGAGCAAGTCGCAGGCAGCGATTCGGCTCATGATTTTCGAGAATATAAGATGTTAAAATGGGGAAACACGAGTAGTTGTAAAACTTGTACTTGCTTTCGGAAAAAGACGTTTTGGATACAAATTTGCGGATCAATATGTTTTGAGGTTCGGAAGCATTGATGGCTAAGCTTGAACCATCAGTGGTCTTGTGATCCGTTGAGAAAATATGAGCCGAATCACAGCCAACTGGTGGTTCAGCTTGCTGTTGGGTAATCGCGTGAGACAAAGGATTTTTTTTTTCCCATGAATCCTTCTAGTAAAGCTATTTGTAACAAAGGAAATATCTGACGACTTCCAATTCCTGAGGACCCTCATGATTCCCATCCTCTATAATTTAATAAATCTCGTGGGCCGCATCGGCTTTGTGGTACATTGTAATTTGAATATGCATCACAGCACGATTCGGCCTGCGAAATGTGATTTTTGCTCGATTATCTGGAAACCCTAATTTCCGCATGATCTAAATTCCTTCAACAGAAATTCTTTACAAGGTATCCGGAATATCGTGGTATTCCTACAAGATATCCGGAATACAGTGATATTTTTGGTTTAAAGTGTGGGAGTGGTGGCCTGGATTTTGTCCAAAGCGTTAAAACACAGCTTTGGCACCATTCAGACCACTACACCTACACCTTTCATCCAAACAAAAATACTTTTTTTACTTTTCGGGAGTTCTGAACGCTTAGTGTACTACTCATTCGAAGCATTCTTCATCTCACTCTAAACTAAACTATTTCATATCTTAGTTGGAACTTTCTGTTATCTTGGATCCAAATATTTTTTGAAGTTTACAGAATGAGACCTCTTACGTGGTGAATTTGTACCTTAGTCAAATAGCGACTTGTTCACTCATATATTTTGAATTTTTGCAGAAAAGAATTTAATTGGTCACAAATATGCAATTAAATCTAGTTGCTGCTTGCTTGTTAGTTATTGAAGTCTTTGTTTCCTTTTGTTAGGATCTTTAGGAAATTCTCGTCGAATTTTCCTTGTCATTTTCCTCAATCTTCACTGCTCACTTTTTGATTGTTAGCTCTAATAATAGAGAAATCCTCATGGACCAAATTATACAGATTGGATAGTAGAGAAGGTATTGTAAAATAGGTTATCTTTTGGTAGGAAATTTTGCATTTGATTAATGCTACCTTAAGCATGTATGTGTGTATAATAAGCAGGTACCTATCTCCGATTGATATCGAGATATTTTTGAAGGTTTTATTTGGGAATGCAATCACTATTCTTCATGTTATCTATTGCTTCCCGTTAGTTTGGCATGCATAATAATATCAATCTGATATAACTTGCTAATGCACTGGTCATCAGTATTGTGTTGGAAATGCTGCAGTATAGACCACTGTATTTTCAAATTTTGTTGCATTTACTGAGACTGAAGAGTAATGCCAAATTTGAACAATAGTGTGGAAGTTTTACTGAAACACGAAATTTTAATAAACAATTAACTTATTGGAAATCGTTCAGCGTGAAATGCTTTACCCTCATATGATGAATTAAAAATAAATTACTGGTTCATATACGGTGTCACTTCTATTAAAATTCCTGTTTTCATTACTGTCACTTTGAAACGTTCATGTGAGGTAATTCAGCAAAATCTCTTATAAATGAAATACAAGGATACGGCAAGTATTTTAGATAATGGATAATTGATATATTTAACTTCCTTTCGTGCTTTGACGACTGGTTGAAATGTTTTAGTACATAAAGAACATCGTCCACTAATCGTTATCATCATTGTCAACCTTGATATAGCCGGCCCACCAGAATGTGTGACAAAAAGGCCAAAAATTATGAGAAATGAAATTAGACAGTGGGTAATCCATGTATTTAGTTCTTCCTTGCACGTAAAGAACATTTACTGTTGTTATTTTCATTGTTATTAATTATTATTGGTTACTATTATTGTTACTATTAATTATTAATTCTTAATGCTCTCATTATTTTCTATTTTGAAAATCCAATGTGGCTAACAAAATATATGATAAATGGGCAGGTAAATATGAAATGCGTAATAATTTTACATGTAAACGTTTCGTGATCCAATGATGTACCTACCAGAATTCTATTTGATCAATTACAATGTTTATTAAAATTAATAGTAACAATTAATAGCAGTAATAATAGTAGCCAATAATACTAATTGTGGAGGAAAACAAGAAAAATAAAGGATAAAATCAATTATGTGTCATAAAGGTTGATTTTTCAGTTCAATTAATTGAGTTTTCGTATTTGAGACAGTGCGTTGAAGAAAGAAACAGAAGAAAAGAAGAAACATTATTTTACACTATTATTAAATCATTTCGACCATAATAAATTAGTTCAGCTGGCCTTCGAGCTGATAGTTTGAATTTCTCTTCAAAATTTTCATAAACTATTGCGCGGAAAAATTCACAGCATTAATCCTGAATTTGGGATGAATTCTCCGGAAATATTGTTCATTTTCAATGGAGTAATTCCTCTTACCATATATTCTCCGGATTAGCATCATTTTCATTCGGAAGACCAGCAAATCAGCTTATTACTTTTGATATGCCATATGCACGTGTGATAGTCTCTAAAAAATTAATTAAAAAGTTACTATCCGGAAAAATTTTCAAATTTTGTTAAATTCTATGAAAATTTGAATTTGCTTCTTCGTACTATGCTAAAAGGTTTATTCTTTATTGGGATTAAGCTCTTTTTAATTGAGCAATAATTTTCCATGCTAACAAATTTAGCGAAGATTACGGTTCGTTTGCATTGACAAATTTTTGTTTGGGTTTTCCTCAGATAGTTCGATCAATCCTGGTGATAATGATGATGATTATGATAATGATAATAATGATAGTAATGACGATGATGACGATGACGATAAAGATGATGACGGCGGTGATTTGTGTTGACAGATGCGCCTATTTGTTCAGTTGCTGTGAATTATCAAAACTATTTGACAAAAGAGAGGAAGAAGGAAAAGGAAAGACTTCCTCGTCTACCTCAATGCATTGTAGTGATTTCGTAATAGAATTTATTAATTTCGGCATGTCGAAATCGAATTTTATCTTTTTAGCTAACTTTAAGTGAATGAATTATTAATTTGAAATGAAATAGAAAGAAAAGCATTTCTTTTAAGTAATTTAAACTTTACTTTCGTAGGAGTTAAAGTTGCAGAAAAATGTTTGCTAACATTGAAATTTATATCAAAAATTTTGCAATTTGAAATCTGGAATGCAACTTTGCATCTGTTATCAGTAAATGTATTAGTAATTGAAAAACTTATCTTAAAATTGCTCTCTCACAAATTACAACTAATGCCAATTTGATACGATGATAATAGTACTAATAATAATTAATAGTAATGTAATTAGTAGTGATAGTAATAATAAATAATAATTGATAATAATGACAATAATGCACAAGTCAATAATTGGCGTCATCTTTGCCCTGATTATTTTTCATCAGCCCTGATCGGCGTGACAAGGAATGATAAGGAAAAAAGAAGAAATGCTAACGTGTGAAATAAGCTTTGCTTGAAAGTGAATATTACGTCAAAAATATGTGTAAACCAAAAAAATATCAATGTTGCAAATTATGCGGTAATATATTTTCACCGTCTAAACAAATGGCAAAGGAATCGTAATGAAAGAAACGATCGCTGTTTGATGAAATTATTACGTTGATTTAATTTAATACTACCAATCGATTGATTGAAATCAGAGTGATAATTAATTCAATAGGTAATTATGAAAATCGACAGTTTTAAAATGAAAAAGATTGGTAGGATTGGTGAAAATGACATATGATAGCTCTCGCGTTTTAATCATAATAAATTTCATTTTTAGTCAAAATTAATGAAGTCCGAAAGTTTTAATTTGATGCTAAAAGCAACTGTCATCTAAAGTCTAATATTCGTTTCATTTTTCGTCATTGTTGCCATTCGCAGATTTTGTTGTTTAATTATAAATCTTTTGATAAATCAATTAATATAATGAAGTACAAAAGGGATTTACAACCGATCCGATATACGTATACGAAGGAAAAATGAAGTAAAATCATAGATTGAAAAAGAGAATAAAATTTGCATCAAATAAAGAAAATAAGAAAAAGGAAAAAGATAACATTAAATTTAATTTGGATTTACATTCATATTTCAATGTTATTGTTATGTTGAAAATATAATAGGAAATAATTATGAATAATGAAGAAAGTGGAGGAAGACAATAGTGATGATGTTAATGATAACGATTATGATAAAGATAAGGCTAAGAATGATTAAGAAATAGGTTTGCTTCTTATTTCCTTCGCTGTAAAAATACATCGAGTTTTCTTTTGATTTAACAAATTACAATCCATTTCCTTTTATTCAAACGATTTTATTAAACAAATTCACTTTGCTTTTAATTTTTCCTCTCTCTCTCTCTCTCTCTCTCTCCTGGAATTCTCTCTCGCTTATCCTTTCTTTAAAATTGGTTTCAATTTAATCACTTCAGTTAATTATCTGTTCTTTTTTTAATGTTTTGAAAATGCAATGATGAAATGATTTCAATTTATTCATTTTAATATGCTCTCAAATGATAATTAATTATTAGCTGAAATTAAATGGAAGAGAATTTTAAATAAAGGATATACCTGAAAGTAACCAATAAATTATTATTAATGTAATAGGTATATAAATTTTTTCAGAAAAATTGAACTTAACTGACTGTTTTGCTAAATTTTAAATTTTCATTTACAACAAAATGGTGAAAATTCAAGAAATGGAATGAGAGGAGGAAAGAATTTAAATTTTAATTTAATTTAAATTTTTCAAATTCGAAAGGAAAATTGAAGTTGGTTAATTATTGAGTTCGGTTATAAATTTTTAACATAAAATAATTGAAAATTTCAAAGGATGAAAGCGACATTAATGTTAGCTAATTTCAGAGTCCAATTTTTGAATTTTAACATGAAAATAAGCAAAAGCAAATAATTGATGAGAATGAATGATTCAAAGAAGCCAAAACGTTAGGGAATAAATTTCAGATTTGTTAATTCAATGATTTGTATATTAGCTGTCTATGGATTCCGATGATAGGCATTTTTCACTTCTATACAATCCATTCAAAAATATTCTTAATTATTTTATTGCTTACTGTAATATATCTCTAATGTACAGAAGATTACCAATAACAAGTTTTCAAATTTTTCAGCAAAGAAATTCAAAATATGTCAAAATATTTGAGAAAAAAGTGAGAGAGTACGAAATTTACTTCGAATTCACAAAATTATTGGCATTAAATTTACTAAAAAAAAATTGAAAATAATTTATTGAATAAATAAATAAATTTCATTCATTAATGATTTAAGCGAATCGTTAAGCGAACAAATATCAACCAACCATTTCAACAATTTAATTATTTGAAGAATTATAATTCTTTTTTGCTTACTATCATCTTTACTTATTATTAAGAGTTTACCAAAAGTCTTATAAATAAATATTAGGAGAAGTTATTTGTTTCATATTTCATTCCTCAATGGAAGGTAAAACTTACTGTCATCATACTTACCATTCTTTACTATCTCTAAATAACTTACCATCTCTAAATAACGTTGGATTGATTATTCATCAAAACAAATCATTTCACTGCTTATTTTCCCATTTCATTTTAATAATACTGATAAAAATTTCAAGCAAATATTGACTTAATTTAAGCCTAATTATTTATACAAAATTCATATTTACACTTATGTCACAATGTTTTCACGCAAACACAAATGGAATATTTGGATAGAAACTATTATTTGCATTCAGGGCCATGAAATAAAGAGTCTGCTTTTGATTGTATTTTGAGATTTCCAATGAGTGATAATAGGTCGCGGTTGCACTGGCTGTGGGGTTTTCGTTGTTGTTGTTGTTTATGGATTTATATCATTTCGTTTTTGAATAATTTCAGGATGAGGGAGGTAATAATAGTGTAAAATTTTGCAAGTATAGAGAGATAGAGGCAATAAGACACATAATGTGGCATAGGTATAGATAAAGTGTAGATTATCGAGTTGATTTCAAAATTTAAATAGCTTGATAATATTGGTAATTTCAGAATCGATGAAAGAATGAATCTTCGAGTAGCGAAAGCGGATGATTTATTGAATACTCAACACTGCAATTTGTTATGTTTACCGGAAAATTACCAAATGAAGTATTACTTTTATCACGCCTTATCATGGCCACAATTATCATATGTTGCCGAAGATGATAAGGTAAGAAAATTGAAGATAATAGCTATCGTCGATATATAAATGGCGAAGATTGACCATGGAAATCTTAAGTTGTTTGATATGTTAATGTATGGAGATTAGTGATGCCACTCCTAAAGGATTCCTTCTACGTTCCATCCTGACTGCAAAACACTGTATGTTGCAAACGATAAGATATGATGATAAGACGGAAAATAAAATTTCGATATTTCACGACATATGATATGTGTGATTAGTAATGAATTTATCATTTTGGTATAATTACTAGGTTTAATAACACTCAATCTTGTAAATTCGTAACTGGTATTTGAAAAAGGTTTTTTCAGGAATAAATAATACATAAGAAATAGGAATATGTACCATCTGCATCAGTAAAGAGATGAAGGATAAATGCCCTGCAAAATTTTTTGGGTTTGAAACTTCGAGGCTTCAAAGATTTATCATGAAGTTTTCATTATCGGTACAAGTGTTGATTCATTTTCATCGCAAGTGAGATTGTGAATGATTTAAGTAGTTATACTTCCGAAATCATCTATTTGTAGGGTAATATTGTTGGCTATGTATTGGCAAAAATGGAAGAAGAAGCAGATGATGAGCCGCATGGTCACATTACCTCATTGGCTGTTAAACGTTCATACCGCCGTCTCGGTCTTGCCCAAAAGCTAATGGATCAGACAGCTCGTGCAATGATTGAAACATTCAATGCTCGTTATGTGTCACTTCACGTACGCGTCTCAAACAGAGCTGCGTTGAATCTTTATCAGGTTTGTTTTCGTCTATTAATATCCAACAATTTAAGTTTATAAAAAATGAAACTTAATAGCTATTTGTAACATTGGGGTACCAAAATACATGGAAATCATTCTTAACTTCTGAGGTGATATAATATTGAATCCGAGGTAATTGAAAATTTTTATTAGTTGACATTTACTGCTTTGTGAGTAATATAATATTATGATATCCTTATCCCACATTTGAGATAGTATGTTCTTGGATAGCGAATTTCATCTCTCGTGTGTATCTTAGAGTAAGAAAAAAAGAGATTGGTGAAAAATATAATAATGCTTGACAGAAAAGTTGTCATTAAAAAAAGGAGGAGTGCATTTAATTATCAGTAAGCAGGACAAGAGATAACCGTTGATGAAATTGTTTTGTAGAACACGTTAAAATTTGAAATTTCTGATGTGGAACCAAAGTATTATGCTGATGGTGAGGATGCCTACGCGATGAAACGTCCGTTGGTGCAGTTTGCAATGGAAAACAATATTGAACCAGCAGATAGGAAAGCATTTTTTAGTACCAAAGAAGAAAGAGAACATGCAAGGAAGCAGAAAAATAATTAACATTTCTATTGATTGTTAAAATCTCAAATTACGGCATATTAGGATTATTTTCCGTTAGCTGAGATCAAAGTTTCGGATTTCGATGATATTTGAAATTTTTCCCTGCAATTTACATGGAGAACTTAAATTTCGTAATTTAGCCAGCTTTGTAGATCTCACTTAAATTTTTTAAGTTTTCCTTTTATTTTTTTGTAATTTGATTACACACATTCTTTTTCGATGTTTGTTTCATATATTATTATTTTTTTGACAAAATTTGAACGATTTTTTATTTGCATATTCGTATGTGTTTCCTTCCCAGATATATCGATCATCAAAATGCTATATTTTTGCGTATATGTCCGTCGTATTGCAATAATTCACTATCTGGATTAAACTGAGATAACATTGAAGATGTACTGTACTGTTGCCAACATCATAATATGAAACCATTACGTTGCAATCGAGATTTTAATTGAATAGTGGCCAATTGATGAAAAATTTTTTTAGATTAATGATTTGCTTTTATTCATTTTATGCAGTCGCAAACATCGCAGGAAATCTTTGCTGTTTATAATGGGTAAATAAGTATGACCCTATTATTGATTAATTTTAAGCGCTGGAATATCTGTAATTTCTTAACTTTATAGTATTATTTGAAGGTTAATGCACGTTAGATATACGAGTTTAATTTACTGCTCAGACAAGTTTAGTTATTGAGGCATAATTCACATGTCCATTTTGTATAACTTCTTCATGCTCATTGGTTGTTTTGCTTCAAACACCGATATAATACGTTTTCAAATTAAATTTTTGTCGCTTCTTCATTTCATTCAATATCCCACAATGAAGTTAGCATGAAAACAATATAATGCATATAAGATTCCGCTTGTTTAATGAATCCAATGTTTGAACCATAAGTTTCAAAAATTAGACTTCGAGTATGACTCTACTGAGCAATCTATGATTATCTTTTATTTGTTAAAGGTCAGTAGTATTGATTATGGGGTTAAATTTTGATTATAGTGGGGTTAAATATTGATTGTAGTGTTGCTAAATTTCTTAAACGATAACCAAAAAGAAGGGACAGATACCATAATACCATTTTTTCATCGACCCTACATATTGAAAAAAAGAACAATCATCGGTGATTTTGCAAATTGTTTCTAAGAAAGTGCAAAAATCCCGGGAGAAATGTAGGAAATGTCTGATCTAACACTGCCAAACAATGAGAATGACCTCTCATTCAGAGGACTGGCAGTGTGCAAAGGTGATAAAGATCTCAATGAATTAATTGTTGAACAATTGGCCTGTCTATCGCTTCTGCTATGCTCATTCTCCAAATATATTTTACATATTACTTTAAATGACTTCAAATATTCTATGCATCTGCTTTTATAATCATTTTGAATGAATTGAAGCACTAATCCTAAAAAACTTTTCCCAAAAACTCATACAAATCATTTCCCAATCTTCGAAGTCGCTCAATTAATTAAGTGATACAAATATTTCCATATTTCAAAGATTACTTCCAAATATTTAAGTGTTTGACACGTTTCGATTAAATTATGTTCAGGTGCAGATTTTGCAATAGTTAAACAATAATAATAAATGTTTAATGATGTAAAAATAGTCCATATTAATTTAATACAACTGCACAAGAATGATAGCAATACTTCAAATGACTAATTCAAATTATTTAATAACATTTTTACATTACGGAACTGTATGATCTATAATATCATTTTCCAACAATAATTCTGATTTATTTTATCAAATTTAATTCTATCGTACATCAAATTTGTCACTTTTCTTCATACTGTTTATATCAAAACAAATCAAATTAACACTACGTTTAGAAAGGAAGAAAAAAACATTCCATTGATTAGGAACATCTTAAATTCATATTATCGATCGTATTAATATCAATTAAATTTATTTATCACCATATTTTCTTATCAGCGCCAAAGATATTTTGATCTACAGCAGCTAATGTTTGATAATTTGGATCAAATGTTCCAGCCTATAATACAAATTGATTTATGACTTTTTTTTTAAACCAATTAGTACAATTCTTTTGTTTCTCGTAGATGAATACAACAGATTATTTCAGCAATACACGAATTATTGAAGCATTCCATTCTATTTCGTCGTACATAATTTTCAATACGTAGTAAACTTCCAAGAGTATTCGATAATTATTATTATCCAACGGGTAGAGTACAGTTCATGTTGTACTATAGTATCTCAAATTATTTGTAGATGGTCTTTTCAACGGATAGCTAACAGTACGAAATAATCTGTTAGTGTGATATTTCTAATGGATAATAAAGAAAAAAATAGCTACAGCACATCCTATCTTATCTGATAATATGATATTTTTTTATCAAACAATAAACTGAATATCAGTTACTGGATGTTTGCTCTATCTTAATGCCTTTAAGTTTTCATTATCATTTCTTATCGAATATAAGTTAAGCGATGAATTGAGTTGATGATAATAACAATGATAAATAAAGATTTACTTCTTGATTCTTCTGTTCGGGTGTCCGAATATTTACACCAACTTTTTTATCAGCACCAAAGATATCTTGATTTACAGCAGCTAATGTTTGATAATTTGGATCAAATGTTCCAGCCTATACATAATTTATAACTATAAATTCATTCCAAACTATTAGTGTAAGAAATACGGTTTAAATTAGCATACAAACATGAGTATAGAAAATTTTCTTTAATTTGATCTATTTAAAAAGTTGTAAAGAAAATTTTTTTTAATTGAAATTTATTTTCACTTCCATCCTATTCGTCTAGTTTCGTTCTTTTTCTTTATATTTCATTTTATTATTATCAAATAATAAAGAAAACCGCAATACCTTTCAAACTTTGTAGCAATTAATCGTTTCAACTATAATGTTTAGAATCAAAGACGATAAATAATCTACTAATTAGTTTAATTTTTTTAATTAAAAAATTTCACAATTCTTTTTTGCATACCTTTCCTTGTGGTGCGTTAGGAGCACGAATAGGTGTATGCGGTTCACCTTTCTTATCTCCGCCAAAGATATCAGCACCGACAACAGCTAATGTCTAAAAGGGATTTCTAGTGGCGAGTTAAAGGATGTTTGAAATTTCAAGAGTTTTTTCGAAATTAATATAAATTTCCGGAAATTCTAGGATTTTATTTTCTTTAAAAGTAATATGGATTATTTGATAATTTGGATCGAATGTGCCGGCTACACTACCTTGGTTTATTGGTTTCTTCACATTTTCACCACCACCTGCCTTATCCATTCCAAATATATCTCTACCTATACCGACCAAGGTCTAATTTTATGAAATGTTTATTTATTTTGAAACTTTTAACATTGAAATAATTTCAAAAAAATCTGACCAATAAATTTACTGGCGAAAAATTTCAGCTCTAGAATTTAAATTTCGTTCCCTCTAATTTTTAATTCGACGGCGCACAAGTGATTTAAATCAGAGAAAGATGTTTTCAAAAGTTTTAGGTGAAGAAAAAATTGAAGCAAGATATTAAAACTATTTTCTTTCTGCCTTCTCAGAATCTTTTGAAATTATTCGATTGAATCAGGGAAACTTTTAATTACCTGATAATTTGGATCGTGTGTACCGACTATTCCGCCTTGTGTCGGCGGCGTTGGTAACACTGCTGGGCTAACACCACCGGCACGTGCTTGCTTATCACCACCAAATATATCAGGACCGATACCAGCTAAGGTCTAAATAAATTTTATTTTTTTTTTGAAAAGGAAAAATTCTTTTCTTCATAGATTAGACTACAATTTATAAAAAGGATAATAAGAGAAGTCCTCTTATTTTGCTAACGAATAAAGAAAGTACTGTGTAATTCACCATTGATTATTACCTGAAATTATTAAAGTAATAAATTAAAAATAAGGACGAAAATACAATAGATATAAGTTTTCTCTATTTTTTCATTTCTATTTTTAAGAGGTTTTTTTCGTTCAATAGGACAAAAAGAATTTCTTCTCTTTTCTTCCAAATTTAAATACAGAAAAAGTTTAACATAAGCTTATCGAATATGATTTACCTTTAGTTTTTGCTTCTAATATTTGCTTAAAATTAAATTGTAATTTGACAATTTAGCTAACCGTTGAAATAATGAATAAAAAAAGGATTACTTGATAATTTGGATCATGAGTACCGGCTAAACCCGCTTGGATCGGCTTTTGTGGCAAATGAACAGGCGGAAAAGCATCCTTTTGAGGACGGGCAGGTTTTGCTGTAATATGCATTTTTAATAAATGTAAATTTAAATAGTTCCATTGCTCTCTTATCGATTTCAATAATTTACCAACTTTTTAGCATTGTTTCATTCGTTTCAATCACATTCTCTTCATCATCATCATATTCTGAAATTTGTTTCTTTCTCTTCCTTTTCTTCATCCTCGCCTTCTTCTCAAACATTCATTTAATCATATTTTTGAATAAACTTATGGATGATATCCGTAGAAATGTTTAACATTTTGAATTCTTTAACAAAAATTAATAATAATATAATATTTACTAATTTTTAGCATTCAAATGTTAGCATTCAAATCACATGTATCATGACTAATATCATACATGACTAATCAATGGAATGCTCTCATTTATGATATTTTCATTATCATTCTTATCAATCATTGATGAAAAATTGAATGAATGAGAAGAGAAAAATCGGAAATTAAAAAAAATTGCAACTTACTTTACAGCAACAACAACACATTGGCAAAGTATGTGTTACGATTGGCAATAATTGCAGCGTAATATATATGATAATAATTAATGAAATAGGAAATTCGAGTAGTAATGACACTGTCGTAAATGTTCCATTCATCAGTTTCAATTTGTTTTACAGATTTCCAATAGATTTCTTCTTGTTTTCTCTTCTCTTTCCTTCTCTCTCTCTCTCCCTCTTTCTCTTCCTATTATCCACAGTGTGTGTGTAATTTTTGTTAGCTGAAAAAAAAACTTTTATTATATTTATAGCTATTTTGTATGCTAATATTGTTGCCCTGCATTAGGAAGAAAGATTTGCAATTACGGTTTGATCAATTGTCTAATTAGCAATACAGCTGGTTATCGAAACTTTTTGGTGTTTTTATTTTTTTCCGATTTTAGCAAAGAAAATTTTCCGCATGAATGGTTGAATTTTCGAAATATCAATTAATCATTCAGTTATTTGAATGAATTTTCTATAGGTAACAACAAATATTCGTCAATCCAAAAATTTGTTAGATTAAGGCAGCTGGAAGAAAACTTCGATCATCCAGAAGATTGATATTTAATTTATAAGAATTTTTAAAAAAGAAAACAGATATTCCAGCCAAATTTCGAAGATATCATAAATATTAACCTTTTCCTAGTAGTAAAAGGTATATCGATATTAAAGGTATATCGATATTTATGATGCAACCACTCGCTAAACAAGAGTAGAATTCAAAATAATCCATTACAATTATGAATAATGGTTTATATCTGAAACTTCGCTATCTTTATTTTTGCTAATTTTAATTTTAATTTATATGAATAAATATGTCGACGAAATTCGAGAATTATTGAATGAAATAAAAAATATCAAGCATTACTCGCCTGCAGACCGCATATTAATAATGATTACGATGATGTTATCATCGAAATACGATGATAACATTTTTTTTGCCGAATGTTTGCAATTCTTTGATCCAAAGATTGAATTCCAAATCAATCGATTAATGAAGTTTCATATAAGTTAATTCGAGCTTTTATTATTTTATTATGCCTTATTTAAAACAGTAATTCGTATAATAATTTCGTATTTGCATCACTGATTATCGAATAGAAACTCATTCAATCATTTATTCGAAATACTGGAGAATTATTTCAAATATATTCCAAATTTTGACATGAGTTTTAAATATAATAAGATTCAAACTTTGTAAGACTGTTCAATAAAGAATTCGCAGTTTTAGCATTATAAAGAAATAGAATAGTCTAGTCCGTTACACTTCATATTTTGAAAGCGAAAAGCATGACGAAAAAATAAAAATTCAAAATCCGATATTTTGATCTGAATATATATATATATATATGATTGATATGTAAGTATTATTCATCATATCTTAAGAGTAACTTTAAGATCCGAGAAAAAGAAAAATGAATCAGCCAATATTCTATACAGCCGTATTTCGCACAAGAAATTATAATTAAATAACATAAATATAATGAATTTGTAATGTGTTATAATGGCTCACATACATATACAGATACACAAGAGATAAACTTACGTGATAGTACGTTAGAAGTAGCAGATGGTTGTACGTAATTAAACGATGCTTTATGAGTGATTACAGTCTCTGATGTAAAATGTTTCTTTCCCATGACCATCTGCTAAAGCATTCAAAATGTTCAGAAGTTGTGTGAAAATCATTCCCATAAGCTTACCTACTTCATATTCTAGGTTAAGCATAGGCAACAAATGCCACATTTCTATCAATTGAAGTGAATAATGAACTGATCAGGATGACAATGACCAGTTGGGTATTGAAATTTCAAACTTTAATTTACAATACATAGCTTATAGGAGAATTAAAATATTAAATAGAGTAATTAGAAGAAGAATTAAAGTAGTGAAGAATGCAACTGAATGAAAATAATAGTTACTATACTGAAAAATTAACAGAATAAATTGGAAATGAAAAAAAATTCCACCTCAAATTGGAAAGAACTGAAATGGATTTTTCCATATGTTAAAAAAAGGATTGAAAAAGGTTGCAAGAAATAAAAGAATAAAAAATATATGGAGTTTTTTGAATTATAAAAAAAAGAGAATTTATGTTTGAGATTTAAAAAAAGAAATGAACTATGATTCGAAGAAGGAAGAAATTTTGCATTGGATAAAAATAATGGAAGAGATTCTTCGTCGGAAATTGCTATTTTTTAATTACATTAATTCCATAGGATTAAATTTGATTAAAAGAGTACATTAATTGGTAATACAATTTGATACTCCAGTCCTTAACTGTGATGTCTCGTTTTCCTGCAAAATATTCACAATAGAAAGCTACTAAAAGTAGCATTCTCCCGAAATTGAAAATATAGAATTACGGTAATAACCACGTGTAAAAATGTTCATTGAGAGATACAATGTGATGAGCAGAGAATGCTATGGCATGGGATGATTTTAGATTAAAGATGAGAGATAAAAAAAAACGGTATGATTTAAGAGAGAGTATAGATTGCATGATTTTTTTCTGGAATAATATGTTGTTCGTAGAAGCTGAGAAGGATTAATGATAGTGGTATTATATAGAGTATGTTATTTTAGAAGAGAGGACAGAGATTGACAAGATGGATTGGAGTTAATTTTGATTAAAATTATTATTGGATTACTCGACTTGCTGAGGTATGTGTTTAATGTAATGTTTAAATTTCGCTCTTTATTTTCTAAAAAACTCTTTGGAGTTGGCATTGAGTTGGCAGTTGGCATTTCGTCGATTACTCTTTTGTATTATTAATTTGAAGAGTTTTTAGAAATTAATTTCGTTCTAAAAATTTTAAATACAAATAAAAGAGTTGTTCATATAAAGAATTTAGAAATCAATAGCATGACTGTCAAATTAATTTTATTATTAATATTCAAACTATTTAAGCTATGGCTATCGAGTGGATGGAAAAATAACTGATTATTGCAGATTTTTTTCCCACTTATTACGTTTAATAGGCCAATATACTAAGCATTCTATGTTATAGTTTGTTTAAATGTAAAAGAAGAGAAATGGTTTGCTAACGAAACAAATTTAAAATGGCACATTGGTTTCATCGAAATCCAATCAAAGCAACGGAACATGTAGATTTCCAGCTCAAATCAATTCTTACTACTCCACAGACTTTGAAAATTTGCAAGTATGTTTGCGACTTTTACGTATTTTTGAATTCAACTTTCTCATTTTCGTTACATTTAGTATAATATTGATTTGCGAAAATTCTGCATTGCATATTATCAATTATATTCTTGTAATTGTGGGAAAGCGTAATATTTGATATTTAAGTATGTTTGAGGTGATCGTAGTGCATTTTTACTATAGTCAAGAAACTTTTGCCTCAATAGCTCAGCCATGAATTATCAAATACTGTTGAAATAAATTTGTTACAATGGGAATTGTATTTGCATAGCAGTTAATCCAAAATTTACATATAGCTCAGAAATGTACTCATTTCAGTGAGCTTCGCTTAAGGCGCAATCATCTTTTGGAACATTTCAAGAATGCTAGTAATGATATGGATGTATTAGACGATGATTTCAAACAATATATATCACTATTTAGTGGTTTTGTGTTTGCTGTTGATCGTGATAAAATTACCGACATGAAAACTAGCAAACTTTCCGCACTTCTTCGATTTCGGTGGTGTAATTCGATGCTTGGCACAGCAGCAATGTAAGCATATAAATCTTGATCATTATTTATTAAAATAAAATTCAGTTTATTTATTTGATTACGAAGATGTTATCTTCCAAATAGATGGTTGTTAATCACGCAATAATTTCAGTGAAGTTAGTGACAGTTGGTACGAGGTGCTAAACATATGCGTGAATATGGCTTTATGGTTATCGAAACATGCGGCATGGATTGCGGCAAAGGATGAAGTATTTGAACGTGATGCTAAAAAAGCGCATACTTGTTTGCGATGCGCTACTGGAATATTGATATTTGTGCGCGAAAATGCTGGTATCTTACTTGAGGAAAATTATGCATAACTTTATTTTTTCTTAAGAGGCAAGGTAGCTGTTATCTAATTTACTTTATTTTACATTTACCCGTATTTCGAATCATGTAATTGACTGACACACTATTCATTCACTTTCAGGTAGAATTACTGGATTAACTTCATTCCCGGGTTCAGATTTCGACCCAGCAGTACTTACTGCTTATATCCATCAGTTCACAGCTGAAGCACAAGAAATTACCGTGGCACGTGCTATCGAACTGAAACATAGTGCTGGTCTAATTACAGCACTGGCTTATGAGACAAATCATTTATTTATGCAAGCAGGTTAGTATTGGAGAAGACTTGAGAATAAGCACACTTGTTCATTTTTTTTATCTTTATTCTTCATATTGGTTCACTTTATGCTTAATTTTATTAATTTAGTTACTATTTTTTACGCCAACAATACATACATACGTTCATCTTCATATTTAATCCATTTATAAACAAATGTTGTTTATTCTCACATTTTACATGTTTGGAAGCAAGCACGAGAACTAATGAAATTTGACAGTATTTAGATGAAAGTCTTGGGAAATTGGATCAGTCATTGTTTGGAAAATGGCGCTATTATCTTCAACTGAAATCGCAAATATATACAGCATATGCTTATGCTTTTTTGGGTGAAAGTCTATTATCCCAAGATAAATGTGGCGATGCAGTGAGAGCATGCAGAGAGGGAATTTCATGTTTTGATGTTGCTGTGGATTTTGCTGGAAAGTATCGTAAGGCTAGTGGACCGGGTAAGGCAAATTTCTTTTATCCATTCATTATTGAAGGAAAAGAAATCTGATAGCTTATAAAATATAGAGAGTGCCAAACAAAATTCCTTTTTTAGGATGTTTCTGTGAGTTCTTTTTTAGCAATTTTTAGAAAACATTACTTTTTTTTCAGGTACCACTGCAGAACCTGAGTCTCATTTATTTTTTCGGCGTATTAGGCCATTACTTGAACGACACATGGAAAAAGCTGAACGTGAAAATGGTTTTATCTATCATCAGAGAGTGCCAGACATATGTCCAGAATTAGAAGGAAAGCCTACTTTTGGTTTGGTTCAAGCAGAGCCATTCGTGTTACCGAACATAAATCCGGTATTTTATATTTATATTCCAGTCTCACTGAATTCTATAATTTAATAAGTGGAGTTGGGCTTTAATTTTATTACACTTTCATTATGTTTGTGAAGTTTTTTCTTTATAGTTGTGGACACCAGCTGTCTATGAAGCTTTTGATATATCAAAAGCAAAAATGCCGGATTTTTCAAAAATAAAAAAAAGCTCTAAATCGTTGCCACCTGTACAAGAAGAGAAGGTCTATGAAACGGAACGTGATCCAGGCGGTCTAAGCGGTTGTACAGTTTCGTGAATCTCATAAAAGCTAGCATTCACTGTAATTTGTATCTCTTCTCTCTATAGTGATGTCTTTCCATTCTATGTGTTAATCTGAATCTAAATCTGATCCAGAATTCAATTTCGGGTTGCTTGCTTTCAGATTTCAAGTTCCTGGTTGTTACATGTTTAGCATGTTTTGATTCGAAAGTTCAGCAAAAACAAAGAAATCTTTAAACTGTATAAGGCTTCATCTGTTAATCTAGAATGGAGTCACCGGATTGTTATTGGATCAGATGAAAAGAGAGTTGAGGTTATAAAGGATAAAAAATGCAGATTTTTGAGATTGATTTGAATTTTAATATATCTGGAGTTTCAAAAAGAACTGGAAATTACACTGATTATTTGCTTTTTCAAGAATATCAAATTAGTTACTATCGCTATCTTTTAGCTTCATATTCACTTTTCCTGTAGGTATTTTTAAATATTCGAACCGAATATTTTTATCTTCTAGTCATTGCTGTTCAAGATTCGTTTAAAGTGATGGGAACAGAATCCATCTTGAAGGGTTAATGCCGTTCAAACAATTTTTTCATCTTCATTTGTTCAAACTATAAGTTAATTTCAACCGAATTCTTTATCTATTGATATGTTTTTTTAAACATCCAATTTTTCTTAAATTTAGATGCGTTGCCTACAAATATTTTTCGGAGAAGGGGAGATCGCGTAGATGGATAGGTTTTGATCATTTTTCTCCCAGTTTTCAAAAGGAACATTTTCCAGTCAAATTTTCAATCCGGTCAGGAAATTTATAATTTCAATAACGTGTGATTAAAGTGCTTGGTGTGTAAGGAATTTCTTCATGATTTGTTTTGTACATTATTTTTAATATTGATAAAAAACTAATTTCTACATTGAAATGATTCATTACACATTTGTTAATTGATCAAGGAAAGACATCTCGAGAGTTTCCAATATTTTGATGTTTGCGGGTAAAATATAGATAGTCTAAGGTCCATGTAAAATTTTGTTGTGGTTCAACACAAACGCAAACGATATTATTTTTCCGTCACTTAATTTGGTAAGCGCTGAACTATTCTAATTTTCATTAACTCTAAAAGTTTGGAAATTTTTTTGTTCAAAAGTAACAAAAAACAAAAATTTAAAGATTATTAAAGCTTACTGTCTGGTGCTGATTATTTGATAAGCATAACCTGTGTCATATGTTCATCATGTTTTACACTGTCTGAGTTCACTCAAGTATTGGTCCGGTTGAAGTGATCGACAATCCCTGTTAAGATATTTGTATCATGCATGACTTTTGCTTCTTCTCTTTTATCGTGATAACATTTTATGAAAAAAAAAAGGGAAAATAACAAAGTCTTAAAAATAATTCTTTTATGAAAATAATTTTTATAATGCAAATTTTAAAATTTCTGGTGGAAGACAAAAAATTATAATATTTAATAATTTTAACCTTTAATTATTGTGGCATTTTTTTATACATCAATTATTCAAATCCTTTCCCTTCGTTGGAAACTTTTAAAAATCAAAGTATTTCTTTCGTGCTTAAATTTCTATCAATAGTCCGAAAAAAATTCTAATCAGTGAATCGGTTATTTTATTTATTTCTGTCCGGTATGCGATTTCTCTCCGGCATGTGATTTCTGTCCGGCACCGTTAGAAGAAATGACTTGCGATAGAGAAGAAAAGAATCAATCATTTAGAATAAAGATTTAAAATACTACCGCCTCATTTCTTATCTTAACTATTTTATTCCAGCGAGAAATCCCCATGCAAGCTTTGGTTAAAGCAATATTATATTGTATATTTATATTTTCATTGTGATAAGCAATTCTCTCTCTCTCTCTCTCCCTCTCTTGTTCTCTCTTTCTCCTTCTTCATGCTAAATAAATCAAACTTCCATAAATTTGATACAAATAATATTTGAATGTAAAACGAAAAGGAAAATTAGTCCGTAAGAAATGATTGGACTAAAAAGGAACAATAAAGCATAGTGGCAGAGAAAATCAGAACAAATAGTGTAATAAAGGGTAAAGGTCAACAAATAAGAAAGTATGAGATGAATGGCTTATTTATTGATGGCTTCAATTTTGAGTTGTGCTTAATATTGGCTCTGAAGTGTGTCACTGAAAGTATTTAATTTTAAACTAAGATCTTGACACTTCACTCTCGAATCGCTAACCGCAATTACTAAGGTATTTGTGGATGAATTGTAATTATTTTATTAATATAGACTATGCATTACTGAATTTTAATTACTTATATTAGGGAACTTAATTGAAATTATATATCATATTTTTTGCTAATAAAACAAAAGAGAGTGAACGACAGTTTACTTTTTATTTTTGAGCTTAAAATGAATGATTTATCAAACAATGAAAGTATAAATTGCAGCATGAATAAAATATTTAATTAACAAATTTTTAAGAAGTTTTATAAAAAAAATGAAACCGTTAAAGATGATGGACAGAATAAATGATTATCACAGGTTAATTGAGAATGGTCATCAAAACGATTATCAGAGGTTAACTGAGAGTGGTCACCAAAATGATCATCACCTTGCAAGTTTATCATGCAGTAATATTTTTTTATCTTGATCAGATGTGATATACGACAAAAACTAAATCGTATCCGATAATCGGAGACAATTTTCTCGCTCACTAGAGAAACGAACAAGAAATCAGAAAAGTAAGTTATGTTTGCTAATGTGTTTCTACTAAAACTTTTCGAGTTTTTCTCAAATATTACGTCTGAAACATATGCTTAACGAATTGATGAAATACATCAGAAACCCTAAAACTCTGAACTTTAGAAAACGGAACGAATCCAGTTTTTCCCATTTCGCAAAAAATTGCTTCCGGAATCAGCAGCATGTAAAAAAAAAAGGAATTCTTGAATCCTAAAAGTACTGCCATTATACCAATATTGATTTTCCAGCTTCTGTCTGATCAGGAGAGTTATTAGAGCATATTTATAAAATTATTTTTAATTGACAATTCGGAAGGTCAATTATTGCACAACCCCAATTCGATTTAGTACTGGTATTTTCAGCATATTTTAATTCGGTATAATTCGGGTATTTATTTATAATTTGCGCCAATAGTTTGAAATTAGTATCTCAACTATTGCTAAAGGTATCTCAACTACTGCTAATTAGTATCTCAACTACTGCTAATTCTCTAAAATTTCTCTTTCCTAACATTCCCATAAGAGTAATTAAATGAACAAAATGACAGATTCTTATTACTTTCTTCGTCATAACTAATTCAACTACCAATTCAATATTATATCTATTTCACAATTTTATTAAATATTAAAAATTATTTCAGTATACTTTATCAAATTTCAATGTGACGTATTTTTGTTAATAATTAATAACTCTAAGAAGATATGTTGCTGAAATGCCCTTTAGATCAGATCTTACCTAAAAAGGCTTTGCAAAAATGATGAAAATTTAATCAACACTAATTATCCTAATTGTTATTAGCCATTCCATTCCTTAAAATTAATTCCTTGAAAAGCCATTCCTTAAAATTCAATCATTTCATTTTGAATAATTTTCGATGATATTATTTTTCCTCTGGAAAAACATTTCAATAAATTAAATTGAATTAAAATAATTTTCTTCACTTATGGTAAAAATTTCAATAAGTTTAAGTTAAAAGTAAAAGAATAAAACAAAACAAAAAAGGTATGAAAAAATAATTTTCTTTTTTTAGAAAAAATTTAATTAAATTGATAACTAAAACAATATAAATAACCGAAAGGAATATAAGAGAGAAAGAATTTTAGAACATATTTAATTATTGCTATCAATAAGCTGCCACAAATAGATAGATGAATGAGAAGATGAAAAAAAAAATAAACTTGGATGAATTTAATTACATTCATAAACAACAACAACAACAACAACAGATGAATGATAGAAAAAGTGTGATGGATAAAGAGGGAAAAAGAAAAAAAGTTGAAATAAATTTAATTAAACAGAAAGAGACAAATAAATGAGAGATGAAAATGTAAATTTGCTATAACAGTTATGTTGTTGACACACAAATTCTTGACAAATTTATTGTTATAAAATGCTTTTTTCAATAAAATTCATTTTATACTATTTCTTTTCATCCTTTCTTAACAAATGAAATAATATAATTTTGGTATATTATATTTTAAAATATAATTTATTTCAATAATTTTACAATAATAATTTAATATCTAATAATTAGAAATTATTATAATCCAAAATTATTTTTATCAGTATTATCAATGTTGCTGTTATTGTTGTTATTAATCATTGATAACATATGATAACACAGAGTTGATTATTTCTCCATCTTCCCAATAATCTATCATTTTCTTCATTTCATTGATTTGTTCATTTTCAGTCTTTCTTCCCTCAAAAATTATTTTAATGTTTACTTCATAAATTATCAATAAATGATAACTTTTCTTTTCTTTCTTTTTCCGGTCTCTTGTAAATTTAATAATATTAATAACTTCAATATTTGATAATTTGATAAACTATAATTGTAAGTTAATTATATAATCAATACGAATAAAAAAGATTAGAAATAGTAAGATATGAAGAGAATGAAATTATTCAAGTATATTTTGCATATATTTATGCATAGGTTTATTAATTAATGATAATTAATCTCAACTCAATTCATTATGCTAATTGAATTCAGTATTAATTCTTCTAAAAATTGACTTCTTAATTTGATAATAAAATTTACTTTTACTTACTTTATTTTAATGTTGAAGTGTTGTTAGTAGCAATAAAATGTGTTCGATATTTGAAAAAGAAATCGATTCCAAATTCAAATTATATGCAATAATTTATGCCTTTTATTACTATGCATATATAAATAGTAAATGAATTAACATTAATTTTTGGTACACTATTAAAAAGGAAATCAAATTTGTTGTTTAATTTCTAGACATATTCCCTATTAATTTTAAAAATTAAAATTTAAAGATAATAATTAAGAAATAATTAATTGAATTGTTTTACCA